AAGCGGTATGCCACCAACACTATTTATAGTGGAGGTGGTGTGCTGCTGACCTCAACTCGGGATGTCGTGGATCGGTGGGTGGAGTACTTTGAAGACCTCCTCAATCCAACTGGCACGTCTTCCACTGAGGAAGCAGAGCCTGGGGACTTTGGATCAGGCTCTCCAATCTCTGGTGCTGAGGTCACCAAGGTGGTTAAAAAGCTCCTCGATGGCAGGGCCTCAGGGGTGGATGAGATTCGCCCGGAGTTCCTTAAGGCTCTGGATGTTTTGGGGTTGTGTTGGCTTACACGACTCTGCAATATTGCGTGGACATCGGGGGCAGTTCCCCTGGATTGGCAGACTGGGGTGGTGGTCCCCCTATTCAAAAATGGGGACCGTAGAGTGTGTTCCAACTACAGGGGGATCACATTCTTAAGCATCCCTAGTAAGGTCTATTCTTGGGTTCTGGAGAAGAGGGTCCGTCGAATAGTCGAACCTCGGATTCAGGAGGAGCAGTGCAGTTTTTGTCCTGGTCTTGGAACACTGGACCAGCTCTACACCCTCAGCAGGGTCCTGGAGGGTGCGTGGGAGTTTGACCAACCAGTCTACATGTGCTTTGTGGACTTGGAGAAGGCGTTCGACCGTGTCCCTCGGGGAGCCCTGTGGGGGGTACTCCGGGAGTATGGGGTACCAGGCTCTTTGATACGGGCTGTTAGGTCCCTGTATGACCGATGTCAGAGCTTGATCCACATTACCGGCAGTAAGTCAGGCTTGTACCCATTGAAAGTTGCCCTTTGTCACCGATTCTGTTTATAACTTTTATGGACAGAATTTCTAGACGCAGCCAAGGTGTTGAGGGGATCCGTTTTGGTGGCCTTAGGATTGCTTCTCTGTTTTTTGCAGATTATATGGTCCTATTGGCTTCATCAGGTCGTGATCTACAGCTTTCGCTGGAGCGGTTTGCAGCCGAGTGTGACACGGCCGGGATGGGGATCAGTTCCTCCAAATCCGAGGCCATGGTCTTGAGCTGGAAAAGGGTAGAGTGCCCTCTCCAGGTCGGGGAGGAGGTCCTGCCCCAAGTGGAGGAGTTCAAGTATCTCTGGGTCTTGTTCACGAATGAGGGAAAAATAGAGCGTGAGATCGATAGGCAGATAGGTGCAGCATCGGCAGTGAAGCGGGCACTGTATCGGTCTGTCGTGGTGAAGAGAGAGCTGAGTCAAAAAGGCGAAGCTCTAAATTTACCAATCGATCTACGTTCCTACCCTCATCTATGGTCATGAGCTTTGGGTTGTGACCGAAAGAACGAGATCTCGGATACAAGCGGCCAAAATGAGTTTTCTCCTTAGGGTGTCTGGGCTCTTCCTTAGAGATAGGGTGAGAAGCTCGATCATCCGGGAGGGACTCAGAGTAGAGCTGCTGCTTCTCCTCATCGAGAGGAGCCAGTTGAGGTGGCTCGGGCATCTGTTTAGGATGCCTCCTGGACGCCTCCCTGGTGAGGTGTTCCGGACACGTCCCACCGAGAGGAAGACCCAGGACACGCTGGAGGGACTATGTTTCTCGGCTGGCCTGGGAACGCCTCGGGATTCCCCTGGAGGAGCTGGACCAAGTAGCTGGGGAGAGGGAAGTCTGGGCCTCCCTACTTAGGCTGCTACCCCCGCAACCCGACCCCGGATAAGCGGAAGAAAATGGATGGATGGATGGATACTCGGAGAAACTACATTAGCTCATACTGTTCGCACAAGCATCGGTTTTGATCCGTTCTGGAGGTCATGCCCATAATTTACTCAAGGCACCATGGGGGCTAGGAATAAGGTGGATAAAGCAGTTCGTCTATAATTAAAGAAAAGACAAATATATTCTGGTCTTTTTTTTTTTTTTTTTTTTTTTACACTCACCCTCTTTTGGAGCAGAATTGGTAGAACTTCTTGCATGTCGCCTGTAGCAGACGGAGACCTCCCAGATACCTGCGATGTGCAACAAACAAAGATGTGAAAATCCTAAACCTGAGCAACTGTTCTGACATTTAGCTAATTACTCACCCCTCCTGCCTGCTGATACAGAACAGGTCCTGCAGACTGCCAAACTCTGTGGGATCATTCAGTGGATGAGGGACTAAAGTCTAAAAAACCCACAGAAATTCTTGTTATAGGAAAAAAATATCCCACATGAGAGCGATGAAGGTGATGTGTGTGCAGACACAACTGTGTTACCAAAGTATGGCTCTCCACCAGAGTAACTTCAGCCCAGAAGTTAGAGATGGTCATAGCAATGGTTTTCCCATTGAAACCATCGGAGGGATTTCCAATTAATCCAACCCTGTGAGTCAGAAATACAAAGTGGTGAATCATCATGGACTATAACACAAGATCTTACTTCTTCTTTCAGCTTTTCCCTCTTCAGGGGTCTCCACAGTGAGTCATCCTCCTCCATCTCACTCTGTCCTCTGCATCCTGTCCTCACTCCAACTACCTCCATGTCCTCTCTAACTGCATCCAGATATCGCCTCTTTGTTTTTTTCTGGCAGCTGCATTTCTAACATCCTTCTACCAATATACCCACTGTCCCTCCTCTGGACATGTCCAAACCACTGTCCCTCCTCTGGACATGTCCAAACCACTGTCCCTCCTCTGGACATGTCCAAACTACTGTCCCTCCTCTGGACATGTCCAAACCACTGTCCCTCCTCTGGACATGTCCAAACCATCTCAGTCTGGTCTCTCTAACTTTATCTCCCAGTTGTTCAACCTGTGCTGTACCTCTGATGATCTCATTCCTAATCTTATCCATCCTTGTCACTCTTAAGGAGAACCTCAACATCTTAATTTCTGTTACTTCCAGTTCTGTCTCGTCTTTTTGTCCATGTCTCTGTCTCCAGACCATGCAACATGGTTGGTCTAACCAGTCTTGTGATTTTTTTCCTTTGACCTTTGCTGACACCCTTTTGTTGCAAATCACTCCTGAAACTTTTCTCCACCCGCTTCATTTTGCATGGACTCTCTTTTTCACCTCTTTACCACAATCCACATTTTCCTGGACACTGGACCCCAAGTACAAAGTCCTGCACCTGCTTAGATGAACTCACATTATGGTTTTGGCAGAAGTGTTTTACGTCGGATGCCCTTCCTGACACAGCCTTTACCATATACCCAGGCTTGGGACTGGCTTGTGCTCACTTGTGGCTGGTTTGACGACAACACTTAAGATAAAAAATGAAAAAAGCTTACCTGAGCTACAAGCTACCTGAGTCAGTGCTTTCTTACCTGGCGTATGAACGACATGTGATGGGTTCACTGGGGTTGCCTTGCTTCTTGGTGGAATAATGACTGAGCCACTTTGTATAGTCTGACAGGCCCTAACATGGTAGTAGATTATAACAATTAAATAAAATTACAGTATATACAAAATCAGTCTCTGAGGACAAAAAATGCACATGAAAGAACTTCAGATATTAGTTATATTTATTGGTGCTTGAAAAGTTTTTAAGTCTTTTAGATCCGTTTCTGTCAAAAGATCTGCTATCTGAAGATCAGTACTGATCTTCAACCTAACCTTTTTTGACTCTTTTGTATTCAGAACACAGTGCTGTGAAAAAGCATTTCCCCCTTACAGATTTATTTTGTTTTTGCTTTATTGGCGCACTTCAGTTCTTTGGATGATAAAACAAGTGATAATATCAATCAAACATAACCTGAGTAAACACAAAGGGCAGTTTTCAACTGATGATTTGTTTTAAGGGGAATCACCTAACTAAACCAACCTGTTCATTTGGGAAAAAGTTACCCCCCCCCCCCCCCCCCCCCACACCCACACACACACACACCCCCACCACCATTAAATCATGTTGGTTTTTTTTTTTTTGGTTAATCAGTGTTTTTTTATACATAGAAAACAGTTTATCAGACACACTCAGGCTCATTTACTTCCAGACCTGTAGAATCAGGAAATCACTTAAATCGAATCATTAATCTAGAAATGGAGAAAATGTGAAACAGTGGTGAATCAGTCCTAAATTACTGTAAGAGCTCACTGACTTCATCCTCCAGTTCTCAAAAGATCCCAGAACAACATCTAAAGCCCTGCAGGTCTCATTGCCTCAGTTAAGGTCAGAGTTCACGATTCAACATTAAAAAGGGACAAAGGGCAAAAATCACCACCATGGGAGGGTTCGGAGGTCAAAATCACCGCTACGCAAAACCCCCCACAAAAGGTCCAAATCGCATCGACCAAAATAAATAAATAAATCGTAATGATCCCAAACACTTCAGGGAAAATATTCTGTTGATGAGATTAATTAGTTTTTCTGTAAGATGTGCTTCCCATTACTTCTGGAGTAAAACTACGACCGTATTTCAGAAAAATAAGCTCATCCCAGCAGTCAGCCATGGTGGTGGTAGTGTGATGGTCTGGGGCTGCTTTAGGACCTGAATGACTTGCTGTCATTGATGGAACCATGAATTCAGCTCTCCACCAGGAAACCTTGAAGGAGACTTTAGTCTGAGACCTTCAGCTGAAGAACCGTTGGGTTGTGCAGCAGGACGATGCTGCAAAGCGCAGCAGCAACATTCCTCCACAGCCACGTGGAACACTAAACTCACTGCAGTCTCTTCACTGCACTTGTTACCATCAAGCTCTTATTTGCTTAAGAGGGCAATTACTTTTCTGTAGGGGAGTGTTTATTTTATCACAGCACTGCATATCATCCTACATACAGAGGCAAAAACCCTTGGTTGAACAAAGTTAGTCTTTAAAAACCCTGGAGTGATGAAGGCTTGGGACTGCCCAATTTCCATTATTATTACTACTATTATTATTATTATTATTACTACTAATACAGTAATAGTATTTGTCATATGTGCTAAATTTGAATATTTGTTCATCTTGGGGTATCAAAGGAATTAAATTTGGCAAATTGTTTCCGTTTTGGCACTGCTTGGATTCTCTCTTCCTTTAACTACGAACAGATTTATTAACAACTCGGCTGACCTGCACACTTTAAAGGTTAGAGCTCAGATGACAAAACACTTTGGTCTGAAGGATTTAGGAATCTGGAGGAAACTGGAGTACCCAGAGAAAACCCACAAAAACATGTGAGAACATGTAACCTCTAATTTTCTTTTGTATATCAACCTTTCTGGCATGCAACTGACAAAATCAAGCTCTGCACTGTAGCTGAAAAATTAGTGAGGCTTTATTTTACCAACATTTTGATGCATATTTTATTTTGCAAGTGCAGCAATGCAGTGTCAAGTTACAAATATATACACGTTTCTATTTTGCAAGAAAATAATTAACAGGTGGTGGCGAGTCACAAAAAATACACCTCTGGCGGTCTAGAACTGTTGAATCGAAATTGAAAAATAGTTGAGATGCTCATGAGAAAAACGCAAACACTTTGAGATAAAACATTTTTGCAAAGTCTCTGAATATGTTCAGAATTCACGCAGCCCAAATGTGTGGCTCTGCAAACCAGGTTAGAAGATTGAGAACCCCAGCAATCATTTCCAGACAGTTTGGTAAGGACATAGAGGAACAAAATCCTAATTTGCACCTTGTGTTAGAACACGGTTACAGCCAACTAAAAACTTTGAATCAAAGTCTAAAAATCTACAAAAAAATCAATTAATTAAATAAGGATTAGAAGATTGAATCATTTTATTTCATTGTAAACTTTTATTGGGCCTCAGAGTATCTACCTAACCTTCTAGAGCAGGTAAAGTTTCAGCAAAGGTAAAAATACCCACCACTTGTCCGATGAGCTGGAAACCAGTAGGAAGTTTCATCCCAAACACATCAAGTTGTTTTTCATTGATGAGCCACTCCTGAAGAAGACAACAACAAATGTACGAAATGACTAGACATAGGCGTCGCAACAATTATATGTGAAGGGGGCGTGTCCCCCTCACATTTAAAAAGTATTCATTTGGACACACACATTTACCATGAAATATTAGTTCACTTTGTGAATGAATCCATTCCACTTGATTATTAGGAGAATACTCAAACCACTAAAAGTCCACTCCAGGTTTCCTGGTTCCTTACAAGGCACTACACCACAAGTTCAGTTCAAGGTCAAGTTGTGTTTATTTGTCAAATGCAAGGTTAACACAAGGTCAACAGTACAATGAAATGCTTAGGATGAGAAGAACC